TTATGTAATAAATAATATATAAATGTTTGGAGAATTACACTAAAACTAATTAAATGGAGCCATTTCATTTACTCTGATGCTTTGCCTACATTTTAAATTAGCCTTTAGCTGTCAAAAGATCCCTTACACTTTAGTTCTTCTAGCCTTATCCCTTCCTGTAAATCTACACAGTAATGCATTAGAAGTATTCCTTTTTTAAGGAAATATTCCATAAAGAATAAAAGAAAGCTTCTGGCTCCGTGAATAATCACCTCTCTCTTATTTGTCCACTTTTACATAAATCACAGCATAATCGAGTTTCTTAAAAGTTATTCTTAAATTGAACAATATGTTTAAATTATGTCTAGAGTTTAAAATAAATTCCTTACTTTGATTTCTCAATGAAGTACTTTTATCTCAATCTATAAATAATAGACATATTAGTGCCAGTTTTTTTAAATATTGAAAATTATTAAAAATTAAATACATACAGATGTCTAAAAGTCCATAGATCCCACTGGTTCTTTGCACACTGAGCACATACTAGGTTTGCCTTCTTAAAAGCATCTGTCACCACTGCTTCTCAGAAAATCTCCACCACTTAGGACATAACTACAGGTTCATTCCCTCACAAAGTATAAAAATGTTTATATATAGATTATAGCTGCTTCCCAGCCAGCATACTCTTGTGTCCGCCACAGCAAGCATTTCTAAGGGTTTGTGGATGGTAGTGATGATGGCACAGTGCTAGAGAAAGTACTTCAGTAAATTCTATTAAAATTTCTTCTGCCTCCCCAATTGTCATCACCCCATTTGGGGTTCCTGTCTGTCATCCACACTTCTTATTTAAGAAGTCAGCAACACTACTCTGTGAAGAACACTTTTTCAGTGATAGTTGGGCTTCACTATAGCAGTATAGGAGGTGACAATGAATTTGGTACTTACTGTCCCTAAATATCAGGAGCTCTGATAAGAGCAGTGGGTAAGGCATTTGGCTGCTCACCAGAAGGTCAGTGGTTCAAACCCACCAGCTGCTCCACTGGAGGATGATGAGGCAATCTATCCGTAAAGATTTACAACATTGGAAACTCAATGGAGGTTGCTATGAGTCAGAATTGATGTGATGGCAGAGAGTGAGGTGTAGTGGTTAAAGCATTTGGCTGCTAACCAAGAGATTGGTGGTTTGAACCCACCTGTTGCTCCATGGGAAAAAGATGGCACAGTCTGCGCCCATAAAGATTTAAAGCCTTGGAAACACAATGGGGGTTGCTATAAGTCAAAACTGACTAGATGGTCATGAGTTTGGTTTCAGTTTGGTCCCCAAATATCAAACGCTAGTTAATATCTAAAACTCCCAAATTCATTAATTCAGTTTATATTCAAGCAGAAAATATTACCATAACCAATATTATTTCTACCTTTGTTAAGAGGTAGGATACCCTCTGGATTATTTTGCTTGACTTTTCATATATAGTTTAACACAGCAACAGGCAATCAGGTTTAGTTCATGGCTTCACAGAGAAAAATCATGTAATCCAAGCTAGTCAAGAGTTCAAAGGAACAAAGATTCCAAGAAATTCAGTTAACTCAGAAAAAAAATACAGTCTACTTCACACACACACACACACACACAAAATGTGATCTCATAAAATTCAATGGTTTTCTAAAGTCATACATCTGTAATAATGCAGTGGTTTTGAAACCTCTTTAACAATCTTCCAAAGTAATATATAAATATTTACATAGCTATCCAGTAACATTATTTTCATTTATATTTGTAACCCAAAGATTTCACAAAACAATGCTTACTGCTACTATTTGCAATGCACTGATATTTTCTATTCAACTCAACTTTTTTAAGTGCTGATCATGACCCATTAAATTGATTTTTCTACCCACTAATGAGTCACAACACTCACAGTCTGAAAAACTGCATTAGAATGTAGTGTTTCAACCAATAAATGTTTATTTGCTATAACAAAACTATAAACACCATGTCATTAAATTTTGTTGCTTTCTATTTCAAGACACTGACGAGTCCTTTAGTAAAGTCATACACAAAACGTTTCAAGAAAAAAAAAGAATAGTTATGAGTAGAATACTATCAAACAGAGAAAAAAAAGCTAAAACTGGGCCAATAGAGATTCTCAGACTAGCTTTTAACTGAAAAGATCTGTGTCAAAATCAATTGATAATAAACATTCCAGAGTGCTACCATTTTCAACAGTCTGGATATACGTTCCATAACTTCCAATTAAACTGCAATCTCTTAAATCTTTTCTTTAGCAATAATATAATTAACAGTTTGAACTAAGAGGGGTAAATTATCAACCCAAAGGTGGGAGAATCTATTAATCTTATTCTTGAGATATAGCCAAATTTCTAAACAAATGTAGAGGACTGTGATTGCAGGAATGAAAACAGAACATGTAAAAGGTGAATCAACAGAAATAGAAGAAAACTAACAAATGTAAGAATGAGGATAAAATACTATGGTAAAATTAATTCTTGCTTATTCTTTTTAGAGTAAGTTATAACTTCAAATGAGAACCCAAAAGAGCACTTTAAATGCATTCTTCCTCAATAGGGGCATGGAGAAAATCATAATATAGGGTCAATCACTTTCCAGTGCTCCCCCAGAGCACTCCCTTTAAAGTCTTCAGGTAAAAGGCATGTTAATGCTAAGAAAGAAGCACACTACACACTTGTGACGAAAACTCCAGTGGCCTTAAATGGTTCCAGCATTTAAAGGGAACAGAGGCCAAATCAAAGCCCTCAGAAGAGAGTTATCAAAAAAAAATAGCAAATAAAATCAACCAAAGTAGGACACTCTTCTGCTGTTGTTAGGTGCTGTTTAGTAGGTTCTGACTCATAGTGACACTATATACTATAGCATGAAACACTGTATAGTTCTGCATCATTCTCACAATCGTTGCTATGTTTGAGCCCACTGTTGCAGCCAATATGTCAAACCATCTCACAGAGGATCTTCCTCTTTTATGCTGACCCTCCATTTTACCAAGCATGATTTCCTCCTCCAGAGACCAATTCCTTCTGATAACACATCCAAAGTATGTGAAACAAGTCTACTATTCTCACTTCTAAGGAGCATTCTGGCTGAACTTCTTGCAAGAAAGATTTGTTCTTTCTTCTAGCAGTCCACTGTATATTACATATTCTTCACCAACACCAAAATTCAAATGCATCGATTCTTCTTCGGTATTACTTATTCACTGTCCAGCTTTCCCATACATGTGAGGTGATCGAAAATACCATGGCTTGGATCAGGAGCACCTCAAAGTGAATCTTTGCCTTTCAATACTTTCAAGAGGTCTTTTGCAGCAGACTTGCACAATGCAATGTGTCTTTTGATTTCCTGACTGCTCTTTCTATAAGCACTGATTGCAGATCCAAGTAAAATGAAATCCTTGACAGTGTTCTATACACATGCGAATGGATAACACAGGCATGTCTTACCCTAACATTCTATAGAAACACTATTATTTGGTAATGTATTTAACAACAACTAACATTTCCGATTTTTTTTTAAAGTAACTCTACCCATTTTTAATCCTTTCCTCTTATCTCAAAACCCCAGGAATCTTTTATGGAGAAAAGGGAAAAAAATTTGAACTGATAGTGGCTATTAGAGGAAGGAATATGCTCAGCATTTAGCAGAATATTTTATCAGAGAGGCAAAACCATATCAAAGTAAACCGTAAATTAGCACCCTCATTTCCTAACCCTGTACCTTACTATATTGGGGGGGGGGGACCTTACTGCCATCAAGTTGGATCCAATTCATAGCGACCCCTTCTTTGGTTTTCTGATGTGGTATCACTACAGAAGTAGATTGCCCAATCTTCCTTCCCAAGAGTGGCTGGCAGGTTTGAACCACAGCCTTGTGGTTAGCAGTCAAGTACCTTAGGTACTACCACATGAACAAGACTTTAAACATGTTTTTTTTTTCATGTAATTTATTTTATATAAAAGCCTATAACAAACTTACTTTTCTACCACTTAGATTTATTCTGAAAAGAGATCCTGAAAAATTTCTTTACCTTAATGGTTAATAAAAGAGATTTTTAAAGTGATTTTCCCTTTTTTAAAATATACTCTAAAAGTGCATTTGAAATGACAGTGGCTTTGGCTAAAGTATTCTTCATACTGTCTTGCACATTTCATGTTTCTTCTATAGTAATGTATTTACTATATACTCTCCCTATCTTCACAGTGAGGTGAAATCCACAAATGCATCTTTAAAGCTCAATGATGTCTTTTCTTTTGAATTTCCAAAAGTACATAAAATGCTTCTTCAGTATACTAGCAGGATATTACCAACCATTCCATGCAACTGCACTTAGGGAAGTTATGGCAAACAGGTAAAGATAAAGAGGACAAGAAGACAGTATTTTCTTTACAAACTTGAAGGTATCTTCTTAATACTTTTAATACCAAAAAAGGCAAAGCTGTATAAAAAGCAAATGAACATACAACACCAAAGAAACCATGAATAGTTATAACCATAGAACACAAAACTGTAACGAGTCTAAAGAAACACAAATATAATGGGTGAGCTCTGACTTCATTTAGGGACAGAATACACTTCCTTATGAGTACATGATGTGTCATCTTACTCAAAGGTGTCTGGCCTTTTCCCAAAGCCACACTTTATTGTACAACAAGGGCCCCTGTGTGGAAAAGAGCAAACAATCTAATACACATTTTGTTTCCCACTACTTTTATATCTACTATAAGGTTACACTAACCCTCAACAGGAAGCATTTCTTCGTTCTGTAACTAAAGCTATGCAGAGTTAAGAAAAGCAGAATACATTCATTTGACATGATAAAAATATTGTTAGAAGTCAGATAAAAATCAAACTTACCTGTCATTAAAAAAAAAAACCTACACTATTTGACAAATCGCAAACATTAAAAGATACTAAGTAAATAAATAAATAAATAATCAAAAGAGGAAAAATAAAAACAAATAAACAAATAACCCTTTTCTGCACTTACCAGCAAAGCATTTGGAACAGAGATTCATAGTCTTGCTGGACCTGGGGTAAAACAAAGAAAAAGAAAGAAAGAAGAGCTAAAAAATTCAGTACCACTCTAATCAAAACATAAGATGTTTGAATGTAGGCAGTGGATTTCCTGGCCAGGCAACTAAACTAAGAAGCTAATGACAAGTCCTTAGCCACCCACCCTCTATCCCTCTCAATCAAACAAAAACACAATACACTTTTTTTTTAACCTATGAGTTAGCCAGTACTTTATTTTATTCTGATTAGAAGCTTATTCAATAACAAGTTCAAAGCAGTCACCCACAAATACTGTATTTTGCCCAGAAGACGACACAGGAGTCAAGTTATCCCACAGGACCATATTCCCTCTGCTCACACTACAACAAATATACCATGAAGTTATCACTAAAGGAATGACAATTGTGCCTCTAAAAGAGGTGAAACTTTCTCCTCACACAAATATTTATCTATCTCCATAACACCACTTGAATTATCTCTTGTTCTTTTTCTCTTCCCATTCTAATTCTATTTCAGATCCTGATCACATTATGACCTTGTTTTAAATTCCTTCTTCAGGTCTTCCCAATCAAATTATTCTTCATGTCCTTTCAGTTGTTAATAATAGCTACAATTCACTGAATACTAACTTAGGCACTTAACATATATTATCTTATTAATCTTTCCAACATCCCTGAGACAGGTATTACCATATTGCTTTGCTTCAAAGATGCACTTTTTTAAGAAATCACATTAATATTTCTGTAACTAGGAAACATCTTACAATGGGGTACAAGTGATGAATAATTTGATGAGGAGATATTTCCCTCATGTCCTCTCACCATGTTATTAAACTGAAGAGTCTTAGAAATCAACAACATATAGTTTCATCCCCATCTGACAGCTGAGCAGCTTGCCTGAAGTCACATAGCTGAAGAATTGCAGATAAAGTATCTGACTTCTGGTCTAAATTAACTCCAAAGGCCATCGTGCTACCCAGATTGGAAAACAAGTAAAATTATCTCTATATGCAGATAATATGGTCTTATATATAAAAAATACCAAAGAACCCACAAGAAAATTTAACAGCTTATAGAGAAATTTAGCAAAATTGCAGGATATACAAGGTCAACAAATAAAAATCAGTTGGGTTTCTATCCATCCACCTATGGACAGCTGATCTTTGAAAGAGCCAAAGGCCATTAAATGAGGAAGAGACAGTCTCTTTAACAGATGGTGCAGGACATTCATTTGCAGAAAAATGAAACAACATCTATACTGCACACAATACACAAAAAAATAATTCAAGATAGATTAGAGACATAAATGTGAAACCTAAAACCGACAAAGGCCACCAAAGAAAAGATAGATGCAAACTAACAAATCCTAATACATGGCATAAGTAGACTATCAAACGAAACTAAAAATGCACCAACAGCAGAAGATGAACTAGATGATTGGGACCTTCAAAAAAATAAACTCTTACATGCATCAAAAGTCTTCTCCAAAAGAGTAAACAGAGAATCTACAGACTGGGGAAAAAAAATATTTAGCAATCATATACGTAACTAGGGACTTATCTCTAAAATTTATAGAAATCTCCAACACCTCAACATCATAAACACAAACAATCCAATTAAAAAAATGGCAGAGGGCATAACAGTCACTTCATCAAAGACGACATTCAGGTGGTAAAATGACACATTTTGAAAAAGTGATCACAAATTGTTAGCCATTAGAGGGATGTAAATCAAAACAATGAGATATCATTTCACCCCAACAATAAAGTTAACAAGGCAGAAAACAACAAATGTTGGTGAGGGTGTGGAGAGAATGGACCTTTCATACACTGCTGGTAGAACTATAAAATGGTATAACCACTGTGGAAAACAGTATGGTGCTTCCTTAAAAAGTTGTAAGAGAAATACCAGAGGTCTGGTAAGATGGTGGAATAGACAGAAAGACTGCACAGACCCTCTTCAACAAAGAAAGGGAAACCAATTAACACAGATACAAAAGATAATCCTGGACCCCTGAGCCTTGAAGCGAAGGATACAGAAGTGGACTAAACTCAAAGTAGCAGAACAATTTGCGTGAAAACAACAAAAAAGGAGACATACAGACCTGAAGTCTGGCAGCGATCCTGAGGGCACAGACAGCTTGGATATTGCCAAGCGGTGGTAGGACCTAAGAATTAACCTAAAAATCGGCCCTTCCAGCCAGGGACTGCACAGAGGACTGCTCTGCTGGCTGGGGAATAAAACAGGAAGCAGCGAAGAGGAAGGCGGGCTGAGGGGTGGACTTTTCTCTGACAAGAGGACACAGCCATTTTGAATATTTGCAAGTGACTTGACCATTTTGGATATTTAAAGTGACAACGTTCTCCCAGATCCCAGCAATTAAGAACAGGCCCCACTTGCCAGGAACCCCAAAGGCATTGCAGACCCAGATGACTGGAAAGGTGCAACATTTCCCTTATTACTGTTACAGTCCACACCCTCTTGGTGAACAGAGGTGCAGCAATCCCCCACTCCCACCCACTTCCCTGGCTGGCAGGAATTCCATCCCAGTTTGTGTGCTCAGACGGAGCCTAGGTGCCCTACCCCACCCTGTCCCAATTAACTTTTCATTTTTCTCTTTTATAGTTTGTTTGTTTTTGTGTTTTAAAACTACTATTATTATCACTTCTTTTGTTCTTTTTACTATTCTCTATTCTTCCCCTCCCAGGTTCTAGTTATCAGGTTTTTTTCTTTTCCTTGTTCCTGGTTACAATTTTTTTTTTCTTTCTCGAGTTTAACCCCATCCCTTATTTTTCTTTTTGCGTGTTTTCCATTTCTTTCTTCATTATTCTCCTTCTCTACCTTTTTTCTCTTATTGCCCTCTCCCCAGATACTGTTTTTTGTTTGTTTGTTTTTATTTTTTCCCTTCTGCTTTTTTTTGGTTACTGTTCCTGTGTGATTACATAGTATATTTTCTGTCCATTTGCTTTCACTTTTTTGATAGTTATTCAATTGTTATTTTTGTTTAACTAAGTGGAAGATGGCAACAGGCCCCATACAACACAACTATACCCACACCTACTGCAGCTTCACTTAATGACTGAGAACCACCACTTCCTTATCCACCAACAGACCAGCGATAAACAACCACCAAGAAGAGCCTGACTCACCCTTCGCTGCTCTTCACAAACAGTTAACAAAGATCTAAATACAACAATGCCACGATGTCTCAGAGACAAAAGACCATCACAGTCCACACAAAGAAGTAAGATAAAATGGTAGAAACAAGAGATCAGGATACAGACCCAGCAGATATCCCTGAGAAGGACCAGCATTGGAACTCTCTGATAACAAATTCTAAAGAATTTATATTTATAAAGAATATATTTAGGTACCTTAAAGGATTGAGAGACAGACCAAGGAAAACACAGACAAAACCCTAGGAAAATTTTAAAAACAAATACAAGAACGAAATGACAAAATAAATGAAAAATTAGAAATGATTCTAAATCTACAGATAGAAATCCAGAAGATTAATACTCAATTGTCAGAATTAGATAACACATTGGAAGGGCAAAGGAGTAGAAATGATAAAATGGAAGACAGAATTATTAAGACTGAAGACAAATACCTGAATACTTCTTTGGAAAGGGATCAATCAGAAAAAAAACAAAACAAAAAGAAGAAAGCCTAAGGTGTGTGTGGGATACCATAAAAAGGAATAACCTACGTGTCACTGGACTTCCAAAACAGGAAGAGAAAAATAAAACCACTGAGAAAATTATTCAAGATTTGTTGGAGAAGAACTTCCCTCATATAATGAAAGATAAGAATATATCCACAAAAAATATATCAACAAAACCCAAACAGGACAGACCCCAAAAGAAAATCACAAAGACACATACATCATCATCAAACTCACCAAAACCAAAGATAAGGAAAGAATCCTGAAAGCAGCACAGGAAAAACAAAAGGTTACTTACAAAGGACAACCAGTAAGAATAAGCTCTGATTTCCCAGCTGAAACCCTGCAAGCGAGAAGGCAATGGGAAGGTATACATAAAACTCTGAAAGAGAAAAATTTTCAACCAAGAATTATACACCCGGCAAAACTGTCCCTCAAATACAGTGGTGAAATTAGGAGATTTCCAGATAAGCAGAAACTAAGGGACTTTGTTAAAACCAGACCAATATTACAATAGATACTAAAGGGAGTCTTTTGAACAGAGAACCAAAAACGCAAATAACAACTGACCATTAATACACAAGATGACATAACCCAGAAACCACAGCTATGGACATATCCAAAGTAAAATAAGCTTACAAGACTCTAAACAGAGAACCAGAGACATCAATTGGCAAGTGAGAACAACTACAAACCAAAAACAGGGAAAATACTGTGTAGTTACAGAACTTCTAAATGGTAAGGAAGTCAAGCAGTTGCAAGATAGAATGAACTGTTCTAATCTAGAGGAGAAAATTATAAATCACAGGGTAACCTCAAAGAAAAATAATAAACCTTCACATCACAATAAAAAAGAAGGCAAGCACAAATATTCAGCAAATACTAAACACCACCAAGAAAGGAAATAATAACATGTTGTTCATAAGAGACCTTGGACAAGCAAAGCAATACTGAAGAAGAAGAATAAAGTAGGAGGTCTCACACAGTTGGATCTCAAAACCTACTATACAGCCACAGTAGTCAAAACTCACTGGTACTGGTATAATGACAGACACATATGCCAATGGAATATAATTGAGAACCTAGAAATAGGTACATTGACCAATGGACAACTGATTTTTGACAAAGGGTAGAAATCCATTAAATAGGGAAGAGAATGTTTGTTTAATAAATGGAGCTGGCAAACCTGAATATCCATTTGCAGAAAAATGAAACAAGATCTGTACCTCACACCATATATATGGATCAAAGACTTAAATGTGAAACCTAAAACTATAGAGTTCCTCAAGGAAAAACTAGGGGCAAATTTAGAGGCTCTAATATATGGCAGGGAGCTCTAGTAGCGTAGTGCC